ATTCACATGCTGAATGCCAAATGAAATTAATATTTCAATTTTGTCTATTTTACCAAATGTATAGTTATGTACAGGGTAATGAATTAAGAAATCACTCTCAATCTACCTATTAGATAAAGAATTTGATTAAATGATTTCAGTTTAATGGATACCTTTAAGAATAACAACATGAAACATACAGAAAACATCATTGTGTCATATTCAATGAGAATATCTATTTCACTCATTCATTATTGTATTACACCCAAGGCAAGTAATTATTAAAGAAACAGCTTACAGTTATTCATTGAGCTTTCTTTCACTTTCATTTCAAGCTTGAAAAAAGGGAAAATCACTTCTGTCACACGTATAGTTATAAACACATATATAGCTGTAGTTGGCCGATTTTGGAATATTAGATATTGTAGCAATGAAAATAAGTTTTTAAAAATATTGTTAGTTATGATTTAAATAATAAAGTAAAAAAATACTATAAACATCTTTATGATATCTTAATGAAATGAAGCATTGATCAAATAATTTCTAATAAATTGGGCACGATATAATATATAATTTTATTTTGCTTTGCATCAACATCACTGCTAGTATCACTACCTCTACCACCACTATCATTACAACCATTCCTATAATAAGAATCAATATCAGCTGGTTACCAGCTATAATATTCCCACGATATGACTATTTTAATGTGTGTGATCCACAAAATTAATTCTACTGATATGCTGAAAATATGCATTTAATTAGTGTAATTTATTAAAATATGGGCAATATTAAGGAGTAAAGAAAATTGCTGCCCCTTAGTCTTTGATATTGTTCTTTTAAACTAAAATAGTACATAAAGAGCTCAGAGTCATCTAAAATCTCCTTAATCTTAACTAAAAACAGGGAAAACACCAACTTCTTGCTACTAGTGTCATCTGTGTCTGTAATGGCTATTCTATAATTCCCTGTCTTTTGTAAAAATTCATTCTGTGCTTTTGCTTCTAACAGCTGAAAGTTCCTTCAGGACCAAATTTTAAACCAAGAAGCAAATTCAATCTCTGATGACTCAGTGAAATTGTGGGAAAAATCGCAATGATTTCCAAGGTGTAAGTGCTGTAATTGGACTAACCACGTATTATCTAGAGATTATAAACTCTGTCACTATTAGGATAAAAATAAAGCTAATTCCAATAAAATAAAATAAAATAAAAAGT